TAGTGCTCACGAGTTTCGTTTTTCCAGCTGCGCAATGGGGGAGATTCATCACAAAGGAATTAGCCTTTCAGCTAATCAAAGTCAGGTCCCACAGAACCCAGCCCCACAACAGGATGAGGCCAGAGCAGCAGAGAACCTGACGAAACCACCACAAGCAGACTTGAAACAATTGTACCCCCCGGGTTGCTAGCGAATCCACTCAATAGCAGAAACACCCCTGGCCCGTTCAATAACAGGTCCAGATGCAACCAAATACCGGTATCCACCGTACCCCTTTTACAACCCATGAGGTTGTCCACCTGAGAAAGAGGCACGTGCAAGGGGGACCCCCCCAAGGAAGAGGGGGATCACAAATTGTTTCAGGACAGCCCTCTTTTACAGCGCTTAGATTGTGTCCCAGTCTGGACGTGCATGAGCCGCCAACAATGTGAGCCTACGCCTATGCGAGGTCTCAAGGTCTATCTCAGCCAATGCTGCGACAGCGTCTGAGATGTATATGCGGGCCGTCTTAGGGCTATTCCAGCGACCAACATGGCACACTTGCGACAGGTTGCCGGTCATCCGAAACATGTGCGTGGCCCCGCCCCTTCGGCAAGAGTACCACTGAAAATTCCCAGCCAGATTGGCATCCTCTGTGAGGACTTTCAAACGGTTCCGTTGAGTCTGGCCAGACACTCTAGTGAGCTTATCTCCAGGCGACAAATGCTCAAGGTATGATCGCAAAAGGGAGACAACCCAGCGGTCACGAACGACCAAGGACTCTTTCGCGCCCGTGCGCTGGCCTGACTTAGTTAAAGGCAGGCTCCACACTGCAGATCTTTTATGGTCAAACACAAAGTCACCTTTCAAAGCGGAGAAGAGCTCAGCAGACCGTGGGAACATGCAAAAACCGACAATCAACAACACAGCAGTGTCATTCCAATGACGCCGATGCGCCAGTTCAGCCAAGGAGTACACCAGCAGGGGTGTGAATGGAGCCGCACGTAACGGCAGCTCCGCTCGGCCCCACGCGGCGTGCAAACGCCATGCACCCACCAGCCATGGTTTACAAGGTGGGATGAAATGTCCAAGTCCTGACAGGCAATCTGAGGCCCATCCTTTGGGGTCGCCGGACTCCCACAATGATTCAACATACCTGCATACCAAGTTGTCTAATTCAATAAATCCCGAAGGATAACTCACACCCAACGCGATCAAAAAGTCTATGAATTTATAAACATGCAACCTGTACCGCGCTAAAGTCTTTGGGGCAACCACCTGTTCAGCCAACTTTCCCAATCTGGCTCTCCTCGCCTTTCTTGCTGCCTGCGACGCCTTTTGTCGCAAGTCCGGCATTGGTCTCTAAGCTCTGCCGCGCCACCGGCTTGGGCCATCCGCTGGATTCAGCGCGGATTGGACCCAGCCCAACACCAAGGTCATTCCAGTGGCAAGCAGCACGGCGGCGAGTCGCGTCAAAGGTCCCTGCATTCGAGCACTCGAAGTTCGACCTCGCGCGATGATTGAGAGCACTGACTGGTTATCCACTAGCAGCAACCGCCGTTTGTCATGGTCCTCCTTCTTTCGGGCCAGCTTTCGGCACAAGTCGAGGACGGCTGCAAGCTCTAGGGCATTTATGTGTCCAGTTTCCTTCCACTTATAGCTCAGGAAGACCTTCCAAATCCAAGCTGAAGGATCAACGGGCCTGCGCGCAAAAAGATGCGGTGCATATGGGAGGCCAGCTTCGAATCGCACATCCGACCCTCTGTGATCGATGATCCGGCAGTATTGCAGGATCAAAAACTGTTCATTTGTCAGCCTGCTCCCTTGGCGGTCTTCCTGACGAGGTAGTTGCTGCTTTTGCCCAATTAGATCTCGCACGGTTTTGGCCCCTTCCCAGGTCCCAGCAGTTGCTCCAAAGCGTTCGGTCCACCCAGTGGCTTTCTGGCTTTGCAGTGCCACCTCCTCGTGTGCATCCCATGCTTTCCAAAGGAGCTCCACGTAGTTTTGCTGCTGGTCAGGAGGGGATGGTGTGATCAATCCCATTAACAAGCGGCCCACCACAATGACAGGGAAACTGTTTCCTGTGAAGCCACCCACTTCATCCTCAGTGGGCTTTGGCTTCATGTTCCGAAAGTGCCCTGAGTTGTATCCCAGCATCCTCGCCTGCTCCATGGCCTTTAGCCGACGAGGACCACCTTTGTCCTTTACAAGGCATGCATCTTCATACGCATAGGGAGGAAGTCGGTACGCATCGCCTTTCCACCGACGAAGGGCTTTTTCAGAAGCCTGTTCAAGGCCTGCAGGCGACGGTGGAGGCTGCTCCCGTTTGATCGGCCGAGTGAAACATGGGAAGGGGTCATCGGTGTCGCAAAGCCGTGCGGTGGCAGGCTCCACGAATTTCCAAAGGGCAGGCCAACATGCTTCAAAGTGCACTTCTGCATGGGCATCCTCCTCACCAACGCTCTTTTCTTCTATGGTGAGGTCTTTCCCTGATATCAGTGCCAAGCCTCTTAGCCAGAATTGCCTCGGACGACGCGTCCACCCAACTTCATGCGCCCACGTCTTCAAAGGCCTCATTTGCATCTTCGCTCCGACAATCCGCGCGTCAGCGGCATCAAAGAAAACGTTCTCGTATAGTTCAATCACACTCCATGGCCGTTCATTTGGGAGCTCACCTGCTTCTTTCAGCCATCCCGCAATCTGCAGCATGTCATCAAGCAGCCTCCCCATTTCGCTGTCTGCACCTTCGCGCTGGCTCTTCAAGCGGCTTTGCTCAACGCATGGCCAGCCCCCGCAGACTAGGACCCGTCGAGCTCGGCAGAAAGTCCTTTTCCACCTCAGTACATCCTCCCGTGTGATCTCTTTGATGTCGCTGTAGAACATACTGTGTGGGTGATGCCCTTTCTGAAGTTTTCTGGCCTTCGGGTTGAGGTCGACAAAAATGAGTCCCATGGGGACCACCCCTAGCAATTGCAAAGCCTTCGAGAGCCCTCCGGCCCCTCCGAACAATTCAACAACCAGGATCTCATCTGCTAAAGCTCCGCCCTGGCAGTGGCTATCCAGTGCGAGAAGATGCGCGCGTACATCCCCCACTTTGGATAGCCCCACCGAATGGCACGCTCCACCACCTTCCTCTGAGGCATCTGTGGCCCACACTCGTCCATCCAATTGACACTGGGTGTTCATCCAGTGCATCGGGAGCGCCATGGTCAGCAGCCAGAGTTCATCAATCACCTGATGTGGAATCACTCCCTTGCCATAATTGTGGATGAACTTGTATACCTGGTCAAGCAGGCAAGCAGTAGTCCGGTTGTATTGGCACGAATGCATATGCTTTGAGACTGTTGTCATGAACTCATTCAAGCTCACCTTCATGCTTCCCTCGGTTCGAATCAAATGCAGGGTGGCTCCCATCAGGGCACGCCGGAACCCAAGGTTGGATCCCACGTGGTTCTCAAGCATCTCTGCGCCCAAGGTCTGCCATGACCGCACGCCCTCTGCGGCTTTCTTCGGATCACGGCCCACCGTGTGTTCATGATAGACTTGCCTCAGCTGCAGCTGCACTTCAGAAGCTTTTCCCTCATATCGGCCCACCTCCGACTCGTTCACAACCATCACTTGATCAAAGTTGTCCACATAGAAGCTGAACCACTGTCTTGGGGTCAGCAGGTCTCCATGTGGTAACGGATGGCCGAGCCTGAGGAGGTGACTTGGGGGCACTCCAGCTACCGCTCCCATCTCCTCATGCACAACCTGTATCAGGTCAACAATGTTCTTCCATCCCATTGGAGCTGAACAGACTCGAGGTCTCAGCGGTGGTCCTGATCGCCCAAATGCCTCGGCTGATGCCTTTCGGCTCAAGGTGAAGTACCCACGCCAGGCATAGCCAGGACGATAAATGTGGAAGCAATGCTTCTGGTCCTCGGCAAAGAACAGCGACACCTCCCCTTCTTGGGCAATCATCTGTCCAAAGAGTGGCCCATAGGACATCTGGGTTGAGGCTCGCTCCGGGAATCTTCCTTGCAAACCACTCGACGGGATCAGATTTATGATCAATCGCAGGCACCTTGTCCACTCCCCTGAAGCTTCTTGCTTCCATGCTTTGTGGACACCAAAGGCTCCATTCAGCACCGGCTTCCCCTTGTGGCGCACCGTCTCCTCCTCGACTTCTGCCTCAAACACGCCGGCCACCACAAGGGACTTCACGATCTTGTCCCATTCAGCAGGACTTTCAACATGAACCGGTGCAGTGTATCGTGGATTGATCACCTCATCGTCATCCAGCCTCACCAGCGCCGGGTTGACAGCGTACTCACGGATGCGCTCCGGGAGCACTGACGCCAACTCGACACGAGCAGCCTCCCCAGCTTTGGGGATTGAAGGCTCAATGGCTCTCAGCGTCAGCGGGTAGCACTTCCGCCACTCCTTCCCTGTGTAGAGCTCCCCAAGTTGTTCGCTCACATCATGCCAAGGCCCTATCCTCACAGATTCCCCTGAGTTGCCAAAGGTTCTCGCATTCCACTTCAACTTCTCCATCACGGGAACTTGGCACTCAAGCAATGTTTTGGAGTGGAACAAAGTCTGCGTCAGCAGCCTGTCCTTCCCGATGTACATGTAGTTGAGCAGCACTACTTGGAGCCAAACCCATGCATCCACACCCGCGACTGGGACCCAGTTGTCCAAGGATTCCTTGCTCCCAGCCTCCGGCTGTCTCAATCTGACCTTCTCAAGCACCCGGCGAACTTCAATCTCGGCCTCCGTGTCATCAGGCAAAGGCAATGGCAGCACTTCCTGGAAGGGCTGTGAACTACCCAAGGGCCCCACTGCGCACAGCTCCATCAGGATCACTGCTGTCCCAAGGAGTGAGGGTCGCACTCTCACCATCTCCTTGAGCACGATCCCCAGTTGAAGAGTAGTCATAGCTCCCTCCAGGAACGCCTCAACCTGCTGATAATATTCTCTCCCTCCATGCCGTGGTCCTTGCCCTGTTCCGCCTCTCAGACCGAAATAGTCCACCGTGCTCTGAGCCATCTCCAAGCTGTCACCCTCATCAATGTAGAGTGGCCGACCTTCTAAGAGTCGTCGTGCCACTCTGGTGTCCAGTCGGTCACGATTTGCCTGCCCCAACGGGCTTGCGGTCAACCTTTTGGATCCATCGCCCACATAGATGCCTCCATCACTGCGCCATTGCAGCCACTCCCCCGACACCCAACGAATGATCACCCCGTGATGACGGCCGGCCTCCGGCCCCTCTACATGGTGATCACTCCTACAGCCTTCGGGGGCACAAACCATCTCATCAGGGGCACTCTCACTGTAAAGCTCATGGTACTTCCGTGTCAGGATGTTTGCAATCTCCAGCGGCTCTTTGCCGCAGTTGCTCTCCAAGATGGCCTTCACCCTTTGCGACCTGACATCCTTTCTGTCAGCACTTGCACCTTCCATGATCTCGTTCACCAATGGGGTGAGCACCTCTGGAAGCAACCTCTGATCTTGCTTCACTTCTTCCATTTCCCCCGGCCTTTCTTCCCGCGGCCTTTCCCTTTTGCGGGATCTCCCACGTCGTTCAAGGGGGCTGTCCCATCGGTCACCACTGCGTCTCCGCCGCCGTCTCCTTTTGGCTGACCTTTGCCTCCCTTCCATTCTCCTTTCCAACCCCGAGGGGCCAAGGCCATCTGCTGCAGTTTCAGGTCTGCTTTCCGCTCGGCCTGCACAGCTTTTAGCTCTTGGCGGAAATAGCTGTGCTCCTCGTCCGCGTGGGTCAGTTCGAGGTATTGGGCCTGTGCCCAGCTGCCCTGATCGGCTGCGAGCTCTATAGCCTTCTGCCGCTGAATCAAGATGTCGAGTCCCCGCAGAATGTCGTTGCTTGCCAAGAGGTCCACGACTGTCATGATGGTCTCCATCTCCTTCATAGTTCTTATGCCGAAGTGTGACGAACTTCGCCGGGGAACCAACCACTGATGGAGGTAAGCCCTCGCACATGGGGGGAACATCTCGTGATGTTTTGTTCCCGCCTCTCTCCCGGCCGACCGCTCCAGAAGTTCTTGATACTTCAACAATGTCAAATTGGCCAGATGACTGGCTGCTCCTGATGGATTTGACGTAAACGGTCGACCCCCTCCGGGAGAGAGGCTACGCGAAAAACCTCCTCGCCTGAAGAAGAACTTGAGCTACTCTTCGATCCTTTGCCTTCCTTCTTGCCCCTCTTCTTCCTCCTTTTCTTGTTCAATCGAAGGGCACTGTCTCGGCTCTTCACTCCCTCACGTTTGTCCAACTCCTCCCTGTAGGTCGAACTCGACTCTTCTCCTTTCTCCTTGGCACGCCGACGCTTTGCCTCCCCTGCCCCCCCCCGGAAATGCTCTCCCGAGGTGACGCTGGAGACTCTGCGTCAGGCGCCTTTCCTCCTCCCGACAACGCCGCTGCAAGTCCAGTGAGGCCTTCCGCTCCAGGAAGTACAGGGGTGAGCCCAACTCCATCTGAACCACAGGGCCGGGCTTCGCTCTTGTGATCCTTCTTGGAGTCTCCCTTCCTTAGCCTATGTCCCTCCAGGATCTCATGCATAGTTGCTTTCCCCTCAGGTGTCAACCAGCTCAACCGTTCATGGCCATCCCCTTCAAGCATCCGATACACATCAATGTGTGTCACCTGGCGGAACGGAGTCTCGACCCCGCAAGTCTTGCAAGGGCGTCCGCAAAGATGTATCCGATGCAGTCTCCCCTCTTTCAGGGGACCGTGTTCATTTTGATGCCACCAGGTGTAGTAGTCGTCCTGGATGCTTAGGAAGTGGCACCCCCACACTTGTCCCTCTTCTTCTGCTTCATCAATCTCCTTCGCAGCTAGGATCAGGAGCGCATGTCCTTGGGGCCTGCACTTGTCGTCATACATGACGGCCTCCACTACCACTCCAGAAGCCAGGCCTTCGTAGTGTTCAGGCCTGGCCCTGGCCCCGGTTTTCCGCCACCGGGAGGCCATTGCAGCTCCGCGGTCTTACCCCTCAGGCTGAGTATCCCTCACCCCCCTCTGTTGACCTTCCCCGCACGCGTGCAGGTCAGGTAGTCAGAGGTGGGAGAGGGTGTCTCACCAAGAGGGGGCCGGGAGGCTCTTTAACTCCTCTACTCTATGGTAGGGGGCTTAAGCTTTAAACTGAGGAAAAACATTAAAACTTACTCCTTCGCACTAAACTGCAGGGGAACCTGTTTACT